TACGGGACTCTACGGGACTCTACGGGCACACTACGGGACTCTACGGGACACTACGGGACTCTACGGGACTCTACGGGACTCTACGGGACTCTGCGGGACTCTACGGGACTCTACGCAACTCTACTGCACTTAACAACACTCAACGGCACTGTACAGCCTGCGATAAGGCTCGGAAACATTTGAAAAACGCTCGAAAACGCTTGACAAATGCTCGATAACGCTCGAAAACGCTTGATAACGCTCCAAAACGCTCGAAACCGCTCTACAAATGATCGAGGAACGCTCGAAAACGTTCAAAACCGGTCGAAAAACGCTCGAAAAACGGGTGAAGCTCGATAAGGATTGAAAACACTAGAATATCACTCGATAACACTCGAAAACGCTCTGAAAATGCGTGAAAACGCTCGAAAACGCTCTGAAAATGAATGAGAAACGCTCGAAAATGTTCGATAACTGTCGAAAAACGCTCGATAACGCTAGTAGGGAAATATAAAAATCATGCCGCATGGTATTACCATCACGAGTACGTGAGCCACAAACGGCGACTGATAGATGGTACCGCCATCGCGAGTGCGCGAGCTCCTATCAGAAATTCGTTGCGCCGCCCTTGGCGACAAAAAACGGTAAAAGCTAACGTACGAAACCAGAGAGCAGCACAGGATGCGATCGCACGATCCTGCCCGTGAGCAATCTCCCAACTCATCTCTGTTCTCTACTGCGTTCAGTCAATGCAAGTCAAAGTTGTCAAAGATCATGTATGCATGAATGTGTTCTAGGCTGATCTGCACTGAAATTAAATGGAAATCCCCATCCTCATCATGACAAAAAGGTGAAGAAATGCAAAGGAACGTTGAACGTTTTTCTTAGCCGTGGAGATTGTTTCTCTCGACTGACAAACGGATTCCAAATATGGGGAAAACAACTAGAGTGGTGGTGTGTGGAATGAAGGGTGTCGGTAAAACCACTCTCTTGGAACAGCTCATTTATGGCAATGTTAGCATCAACACCGTAAGTTCTGAAAAAATTGGCTAATTGATTCCATTTTCACATTCCGCTAACAAATGTTGTCATCAACTGGAATTTTAACGAACTTATTTTCCAAAAGACCGAACCTAACCTTACCTACGTTGTTTCTTTTTTTTATGACACTTCCGACAATCAGGAAATACATCCTACCATAGAGGACATTTACGTTGCCATAATAGAAACAGATCGAGGCACGAAGGAAAAGGTAAGATTCTATGACACCGCTGGATTGGAACCTTTGCAGAACAATGCCAACAATCCGCAGCTAGCTCGACACTATCTAGGTTTCGCTGATGGATACGTTTTGGTCTATGACACTGCCAAACCCGAATCTCTTGATGTTCTTTTTCCCCTGAAAAAGGATATCGATAAAAACAAAGACAAAAAAGAAATAACAATAATTGTCATCGGCAACAGAACACATACGGATGTGGAAACTAACAATTTTGAGAATACTTCGAGCAAAGCCGCTAATTGGTGCTTACGAGAAAAGTTACGTCTTTACGAAGTAAATGCGATGGAGAGGGCTAGTTTGTACGAAGCATTTGTGTACCTTGCATCGAAATTAAACCCTCCGCCAAATAAGAGTACATTCCCGCAATTAAGCATGGGTCGCAAGAACTTGAGATCTGAGACAACCTGAGGTGAACACCGAATCTCGTATATACGTTATTATATCTACATGTCTATTACCATAATTTATTACTAAAGTTACTATTTCTTTATTTTTCATCAGATCTCATGCACTTTGATAATACTAAATCTTGCTGCATTTAGAAGAGCTTTTAAAGTTAAGTTGTTTTATGTTAAGTTTAGCGACACTACAGCAACAATGTACTTAAAAGATAGATCAACGCCGAAGGGGTTGTATATCCATTATTGTTGGTACAAAGTATTTTATAAGGTCCTCGATTAGGTGCGGCAATCTCTTTGGGACGTAGTTATCTAAAAGCAACCGTTTCCATCATTGCTCGTTCCCTCCGCGTACTTACTTCCTTCAGAGAGTGTGTGTTAAAACTACTCTTTGGACACACAGTGTTATTTATCATATTTAATGTACAATCGTTACTTGTTTGTCCAAATACCTGTATATTGTTATTTAATGAATTCAATATAACCACTGTAATTTTTTAAAACACGTGTTCCCCATTGATCCGCGCAATCAAGTGACGCGAGCTCGAAAGGACGATGAAAACTTGGCAATAAATAAGCTTTTATTTAAATACTTTTTAATTCTTGTATACAATATGCTCGATATCGACTTACGATTACAGACTACGATACGTCAAATATGCTTGAGTTCTCGTGTAGCCAGGAAGCCTACTGTTGCACAGTGGAATCGAAACAAGAGAGAGGACACCGATATTGCAATTAGTATTATTGACTCGCAGAACCTTTGATAATTCCTACGCAAAAAGGATCAGTAAAGTTAACCTATAAAGGGAGATTTTATATTTGCACCACACCATTTATTAATGAAAATTAATTTTAATATACCTATTAAAGAATTAGAACGGGGCGCTATTTGAAAGTGACACATTTCACGTTTAAGTACTTATCCTTGTCCTTTCGACATATCAAATGTCAACGATTGAGCAGTTAAGGTTAATGTGAAAGTGGCATCGGAGGGTTCAATCATTCATGAGACTTCTCGAAACTAGGTGTACCAAATCCTTTCAAACTTCACAACGTAAATATAGAAGCCATAAGGAAGGTCCTGACACTGATGAAATTAAACTTTGTATTAAAAAATGTTAAGACTACCTATAAAGAAATTAAAAAAAAAAAGAAATTGAAATTTCATGGGTGTCAGGATCTCCCTTAAAGCCTCCATATTTATGTTGCAAAGTTCCAGACGCTTCGGTACACCCAGTCGAGAGAAAAGCTTCATAAACGAGGCCTTTTTCTACGCCACTTTCGCATCGCCTTAATGAAAACAGCATTCAAGACGGATTTTTGGGTAGCCTCTTCGATGTTCGACCTACTGTGCATCGGCGCCGTGAAATACTATTGGGCATTAAAATATTCGGCAAGTCGCATGCACCTGCATCGCCGATATTTCTGGCTTTCGAACGATCCAGATCGTCGAGGAAGGACGACCATTCGGTGCCGTGCCTCCTAATACGAAAACGAGCGACGCCGAAAAAAAAAAAACAAAAAAAAACTGGCGCGTGTTAAAAGAGACCGTGTCAAAGGCACCGGTCTTTGAAGTCGGATCGGATCGGAGTGCCGCCGAGAACGGGTAACTGAAAACGGTCTAAAAGGGAAACTCTCTTTATTACTCTCGCCCAGGGATCCGCTAAATAGCAATCGGTTTTATCAATGCACAACTGGGAACGGTAACTGCGCCCCGGAATAGGAAATAACTCGGACCTACTTAATTTAACGTGGCTTACGGTGTACCCTAACAACTTGGCAAGTCTCATGTACAGGAGCAAGAATTCCCTGATGCAGATAAACGATCGCAGACATCACCCTTCCTCCCCATGAAAAATATGAAAGCAGGACCAATTATATTAAGATACCGAGTCTAATAGAAATTCAATGAAGTCCCGATTGTCAAAGGATAATAAAAAGCACCCTTGGTGTACATTATTGTTCGTTAGAGTCGCGGCACACGAGTGGGCCGAAAGGGTCCTTATCTCCTAGAACGCGGAGGCGGGATTTCCTAGTCGTTTTCTTCGGTTTTCCTCGGCTCCACCGAGCAGAGGACCGTAGAAAATGGGAAAACGGAGGACAGCCTCTTTTACATTCCCACGTGCGACATGGAAGAATGCCTGGTGCAGAAAAACAACAATGAATCGCCTTTCCCACCCTCGTGACGTGCTAATTCAACAAGGTGCAGATCCTCGGGAAATCTCACGGTTACTCGGTTCCCTAAATGTAGGTCTCTCGGTCGTAGATAAATGATAAACCCCGCGGAAAAAAAAAAAAAAATATCTCATAGCCTTGAGACACGCTCGATGGACCCTGTACAATTCCAAAGGAATCCCCGTAATGCGCCGTGCACTTGCTCCCGCCATTCCTATCGCAACGCGGTACCAATTATCGCTACTTCTCCTCATATTTTACACTTATTAGGAATATTTCTCTCGGCGAGATCGTCGAGTCGCGGCTCCAACTAGAATAATCTCCTCGGTCGCACGTATAAGAACGAAGGATACATCAACATCGAGTGGATCTTCCAACTCCCCAAGGACGTTAAAATAAATCTCCGCTCGAGGAAAAATATTTATACGTCGTTTAGGATTTTTCCTCTATTTTTTCATCTTTTTCTTTCGTTCTTAACGCAATTCCCCAAATCGAGTGAAACCTTGCGGCCGGAAGGGAAATTCATTAGGTGCATGTCGCGGTACGTATATCGCGTTAAATAGTACGTAGATCATTTGTGCCCATAATTATGAAAGTGGTCTAAGTCATATATTTTTTCTTTCGAAATTACATTGAATTAATTTCGTTTGTAATAATATGGCGTGAAATAACTGATAAACTCATTTTTTTTTTTTTTTTTTAATTTTGACTTAGACCACTTTCATAATTACGGGCACATTTATCCGACGAGAGTCCTCTATTTGGAAATGTCCGCGACTCCCTTATCCCAAACTCACTGGACTACTGAATCATCTGCCGTGCCGTCTCTTAACGTTACAAGGTATGTACATAGGTACAGCTAAAATAGAATGACCAACACCGACTATCGTTGTATCCGGGAGCACGAAGGCCACGTAGACTACGAGCGCGCGTAGAAAATCGGCTTAAAAAAAGGAAGGAGAAATTCCCACCCGCTCGGATCCTTCGAAATTGAAAGTGGCGATCGACACCGATAAAAGCCAACGAGAAGTCGTACGGGCCGAACGGGAAATCAATTCCGATACGACGTATTGTCTTTGGTTTAGATTGTGAGAGAGAGACATGGGGGGAGAGAGAGAGAGAAGTTTTCAAGCCCTTCGTCTTCGCCCCGGCCAAACAATAACTCTTTTTGTTAAACATCGTTAAATATCTGTTAAATATCGACAAATCGTAGAACGCAAAGTCCGACTCGAATAACCGAGGAAACTCGGAGGAAAAAATCGTACGCGTGCTGGTCACCCTAGTATTAGATCAAATTTTTATATATATATAATATGTATATATAATACATATATATACTTTTCTCTGTCACTATTTAAAACAGCTGGACCAGCCAAACAACAACGTAGCTTGTAAACCTGTTGAGCCGTGGTTAGGTCGCGGAAGGAAGAGTACCCCGATGCATTTCGACGACTTTAATCTCGTGTCTCACTGAACGCGTCGACGGGATGGGCCTGACATATATCGTGATTTCCCTCCCCGAATTATCCGAACCCTCGATATATCCATTCCCTCTGCCGATTCGGCCTCTTCCCCGTTAAGGTAACGGGGGCCTGCTTCGTTAAGGGCATAGAAACCTTAAGGCGAGCCGAAAGTGGGATTTTTAAGAGATCTCGTGCATGAAACCTCTCCCCGAATCTCCATGAAAATCTCACCACATGAACGTAAACACCCCGGGGAAGGCGCGGACGCCCATGAAACTCCATTTTTCTCTTTTTTTCTCGTTTTCTTTTTTTTCTCCTTTCTCAGTTTGATTATAAACATTTTTAAAATCTCGTGCAAAAGGGAACATTTCACGAGCACGGGGACCTTCCTTTGGTGCCTCTCGGTCATGTGGTCGAAGTTTCATACGGTTCGGTTAACTCGGCTCGGAGAAACATCTCATAAACGTGGTTGATCTCTTAGATGGCACTTTCGGCCCGCCTTAAGGGGATGTGAAAGTGGCATCCGAGAGGTCAATCTTTCATGAAGCTTTTCTACAAACTGGGTTTACTAAATCGTTTCAAGCTTTACAACATGTATGTGGAGGCCCTAAGGTAGGTCCTGAAACTCATGAAATTTCATATTATGCCTAAAATGTTGAAAACATTCGTGAAGAAAGTTTTTTTTTTTTTAATTTAAATGTTATGGGTGTCAAGACCTTCATTAAAGCTTCCATATTCACATTGTCAAATTTCAAGCGATACGGTGCCCTCAGTTGGGAGAAGAGTTTCATGAACGAGACCTCTTCGTGGCACTTTCGCACCACCTTAACGCCTTCTCTTCGGAGGCTGCCCGAAAGGTCTGCCATGCGTCGACGCGATGTCACCTAATACTACGTCTATTGCCCAGTTTACTATGTTTCGGTGCCACTTTCGTAGGATGGCAGTTTAATTCCTTGAACCTCGGCAGCTCGCCTCGGGTAATTAAACTCCTGCCGGCCACGAGGGGGCCCTTCCCGCTGTTACGAGGCCGGCGAGCTAAGGAGTAACGTCCCGTAGCGGAGAGGGCCTTTCAGAAATCCATCACTTCCATCTTGAAGGCCCTTCCTTGATGCTTCTTCGCGGCTATGTCCGCGCAAGACGGGGCGCCGTTATTGTCGTCGTCGCTGTTCACGTCCTCGTCCTCCTCGGGGAAGTCCTCGAGTCTGTCGTGGTACTCGTCCAGCTGTAAGCAATCGAAGGATTAGTTAGTCAGGTACTCGATAAACGGACACCTAAGCGGTTCGCTTGCAACTACGATTCCCGTTAAATTCGCAATTCCTTGGGGGAGATCCAAGATTTTGGTGGGGACTTCTTCCCCTAGAGGAAACTCGAAGAGGCGTGCGGCCTTCTTCTGGGCGTCACCAAAAACTTCATTCTTCGAAGTCTCGCCAAGGATCCAGAGGTTCTCGTGGAAATCCAGATTTACGATCAAGGAAAAGTCATCCAACGTTAAGGGGACGTGAAAGTGGCATCCGAAAGCTCAGTCGTTCATAGAACTTTTCCACGAGCTGGGTCTCTAAATCGTTTCATACTTTAATACGTGAATATGGAGACCCTAAGGTAGGTCCTGAAGCTCGCGAAATTTTACTTTTTATAAACTACCTTTAAAATTCCTATAAACAAATTTGAGAAGAATTTAAATTTCATGAGTTTCAGGACCTTCCATATCGTCTCCCTATTCACGTTGTAAGTTGGGAGAAAAGCTTTATAAAGAAAACCTCTTCGACGCCACTTTCACATCACCTTAAGGTGTTACGAAACTACCGCTCCGCATATATATTGTACATAAAAACGTCAGAATATTTATAAAACTTATCTCCAAACTGAGAGTATCATTAATCGAGACTTCAGCACGAGGTCGTAAGGAGAAACGCGATGTTCATGAAATTTCCATTTTCCCCCCATAAAAAAAAATGTTTCCTTGGTTCTACTCAGGAATAAATAAAAAAATATATATATACATATACTCTTTAGAAATACATTTCACGAGCATCGCGTTCTTTCTTAGAGCCTCCACGAACACGTGTTGAAGTTCCAAATGATTCGGTTAATTATTTCGACACGTATAGAATGACCCTTTGGTAACGCCTTAAGGATTGATAATGAGAAAAATTCCGGGAAATTTGGAGTAAAATCTAAAAAAATGAGGATTTCATCTTATCCGAGAGTAAATTAAACATTGCATATCTCTGGTCTTCCAGACTTCTGGATCCTCCCTTGGAACATGCAACTGCTAGGAAGCTTCATGCCGGACCCTCTCTAGGAGACTCCCCAAGATTCGTCCCTAGAACTAGAAACGGCGTCTACGTGACATTCAAAAGATGCCTAGAGCGGACTCACATGGTGGGGTGGCTACAGAGGATATCTTTATCGACGTTACCAGAGACAGGAGGGTGCTTACCTACAACTGGAGAGCATACGAGACGAAGGTCAGCGGGAAGGAATCCACGTCAGCCTCCACCGCGTTTCGGGTTCGGATTCTGGATCGGGTTCGGGATGGGGATCTCATTTATGACATGACATGAGACACGAGACTTTGACGAACTTCCGGTCCGTGAGGCGTTTGTCTGGATGGCGTTAACCTTTTTATTACTGTTAGCTTAAAAAAATTACTGAAAAATTCCTGCGTTGCTTACAGGTGCTTTTAAAAAATTGCAACATACCATTGGAATCTCTAGGCATCTCTATTGTTATCAACGGCATATCAACTGCGTGGTACACGTATATAAAAAAAAAAGTACTCCGTCGAGAAGTGAAATTTCTCGCCATCCATAACTTAAGTCGGGTTTCAATGCGTATCTGTCACGTGATATGTAATAACCTTTTCATTACCGTTAGCTTAAAAAAATGACTGAAAAATTCCTGCGTTGCTTACAGGTGCTTTTAAAAAATTGCAACATACAATTGGCATCTCTAGGCGCCCAGTGATTGTTATCAATGTCATATCAACTGCGTGGTACACGTATATAAAAAAAAAAAAATACTCCGTCGAGAAGTGAAATTTCTCGCCATCCATAACTTAAGTCGGGTTTCAATGCGTATCTGTCACGTGATATGTAATAATATAAGTAGCGAAAGGGTTAAACCCTAGAAATTGTCGCTCTCGGTCGATCTACTCTAAATCCTCGTTTTCGAGGTGTACTTATTTTAATTTTTCTTTGCGAGCTTGAGAGTAAGAATTTCCAACTCAGGGATGTAGAGACGGATCGACGGGTGGAGAACCTCGAGACCCGGGGAGGGATTCCAGAGACACAACGCATTGTCAGGAATAATCCAGATCGTGCAACGATAAGAAACGACCACCAGGATGCAACACGTCGAGTACACGAGGAACTTTGTACCGCGGCAAGTGCACTTTGTATGGAATTATTACATCGAGAGACCAGGACACGGCTTCACTCCGATTAAACGATCACACTGTATTGTTACCGGTCACAACAAAGGAAACAGTGGAAGCAGGAGGGCGGAGGTTCCTTCCAAATACTCATTCTACACTTCTACTCCCATTGAAGCTCGTTTCAGCCTCGAGACGGATTTTTATTTAGCCGTTGGAATTTATTTCTGCATATACGTGCAGCAAGCCGCCATGTTTGCGGACAGTCTTAGTCCTCTCGAGGCTGATGCGGTCCACGTTGATTTTTTTCAACGCGTTAATTTAGTTTTTTTTTTATAGGGCAACGGTCAAGGCAAAACTTACGTCAACGTCGCCCATCATCTCCTTGGTGGAGACCGTGGTATCGATTCGTCGGATGCTACCCTGATGAATGTCGACGTCTAGCTTGACGCACTGGAATCTCCTCAAGAGAAAGACTATCGGTATCGGCGCTATCCCCGAGAGTATTATAACAACGGCGATTGCGAGCACCCAACTCGGGTAACTCGTAGGAATTGCCACGCCCTGTAACGTGAATATCCCGTTAAAACGATTCCCGTAGCCTAGTTCTAGGTTACCAAGACCGGGAACTGACCAGACTCGCATTCCAGGCTGAATACTGGGGCTTTTTGATAAACATGGAGACGATGCTGGAGACCAGGATGCAGACCATGATTATTGGCGCGAGGAATCTCCAGGTAACCTGCCAGTACAAGCCAGGTCTGTAGCCGGTCATCTCCTCGATGTCCTTTGTAAACCTGAAAATCAATGCCGAATTAATTGTTCGTCAGATAAGACGCGTCAGACTGTCCCTAGCCGCGTATCGACCTCGAAGAGGCTAGGAAGAAATATCGGTTCCATAAATTCTGAATTTTTCCCGAAGGTGCAGAGAATTACTCAAGACTGCGGTACGCACTTCTCGTGCCCGTAGACGAATATGACGGATATCATCTCCATCAGCGCGACCATGACGAGGCCGATGGTTCCAGCAAAACTGTCGAACATCTTCAACCAGTATTCACCGGCACCGGTGCAGAAGATCAGGCCCACGAAGAAGCACACCACGCACACGACACCTGGTTTGGTATAAGGGAGTTAATTAGTATGCGGATTTGTAATGGGTATTCGGTATTCTAGATCCACCAACCTGTCATGTATTGCTTCTTCAGCCTCTTGAATAGATCGATCTCGAAGATTACGCAGAGCATTCCCTCGAGGATGCCGATCTGCGAGCCCAAGCCCAGGGCGAGCAGCATCAGGAAGAAGATGCAGGACCAAAATGGCGCCCCGGGCAGCTCGACTATGGCTTGAGTGAACACTATGAATGCCAAACCCGTGCCCTCCGCCGCCTGGAAGAAGCATCGTCTCGGTATTACGAGCCAAAGATGATCCTTATAATACCCCAACACGGTAAGCCGAGCCTCGAAGTCGGGCACGTATCCGACCCTGACCCTCGCTCGGATTTCCTATTCAACCCCTCAGCTATTTCCGCTCTTCGTAGCTACTCGAGGCGCTCGGTTCACCGTTCGGGATCACCATATCATTTTCTACATACATTGTCTAGCTGCTTGCTCAGGCTGCACTCCTCGATGGTGAAATTCGCCCCGGTCGAGTTGAAGACCCGCGTAACCAGCTCGAACTCGCTCTCGGTCGAGTTCGTGTCCAGGAAGCCGTTCTCCACGAACAGGTTTCGGTTTCTGAAAGTGGAAACAGCGGTTCGATCGACCGTCGATAGGCGTCGGTCCCCCGTGTAGAGGAAAGTCGAGGATAACAGAGTCGAATCGGAGGAAAGTCGTCTGCAGGAACGACGGACGGGATGCCGGCGGGACGTCGAGAGCGAGAGTGGAAATCGGCTCTTCTAGCAATTCGCGAATCTGCTCGATCGAAGTCAAGGATTTTGATCGACCCCAATCCATTATTAAAATCGATCGCAATCCGGCATTCGATGCGATCGAGACCCGACCGGGCCCGCGGAAACCGAAGACTCTGCCGTCCTCGTCGCATCTTACCCGGCCAGGCACTTGTCGACGTTCGTCATAGCTTTGAAGCCCAGGATCGCGAAGATGACGACGCTCGCGTAAATCGCCGTGAACGCGTTGCACACGCTCACCAGGATGACGTCGCGGACGCAGTGGTTGTCCGGGGTGTTGTAGCTGCCGAAGGCGATGAGCGAGCCGAAGGCAAGGCCGAAGCTGTAGAAGACCTGGGTGGCCGCGTCGAGCCACACCATGGGGTCCAGCAGCTTCTCCACCTAGTAAAAAAAAAAATCAAGTTACAGAAAACGAGGAAGAGGTCGAACGAAGTCAGGAAAAGAATATCCTCGATCCACCTTAGGGGTGTACATGTGGGCCAGTCCGGCGCTGGCCCCCTTCAGGGTGATCCCCCGGATGAAGAAGATCGTCAGCACCAGGTAGGGGAACATGGACGTGAAGTACACCACCTGGGGGAATAAGGGGATGTTTAATTTAACATATGTTCCCATGTAAGCTCGAGCTCGTCCGCACCTTCCCGGACGACTGGATGCCCTTCATCACGATGAAGAAGACGACGACCCAGCTGAGGAGCAGGCAGAGGACGATCCACCACTTCAGGCCCTGGCCGTCCTCTATCGAGGGGGCCGCGTCCAGGGTGGTGCGGTACCAGAAGTACGCCGTCTCCGAGCTCTTGGCGCATTCCTCGACGGGCTTGCCGCCGACCTCCGGACACGTCGCCCAGGGCAGAGGATCCTGGAACATCGGGCGGAAATGTATTCTTTTTCGAGCCGCAAGCGACAATCCTCTACGAGGAAAATACGCCAACGAGCCACGTGGAGGCTGATAAGCGGGATTCGACACCTAAGAAGGGACGAACGAAGAGAGAGAAGCCGTCAGCGTGCAGAGGCCAAGACCACTCGCCTCGATAGCGTCGAGCAAAATCAGTCTTGCTAAAAGTGCGACTAATCTATGCCAGGGGGTCGATTTTGTAACTCGAATCTAGGGAAAATGCCAAACGGGATCGATTTCGAGGATTTTGTGTTTCTTTCCCAGGGTGAAAATATGAGTTACTTCGCGTGAAAATATTTGACCAATGATTTTGCGTCGGGTGAAGATACGTCATACCTTGTACTTTCGCATTTTCACATTTTCACATTTTCGCATTTTCACGTTTTCACATTTTCGCATTTTCGCATTTTCACATTTTCACGTTTTCACATTTTCGCATTTTCACATTTTCACATTTTCACATTTTCACATTTTCATACTTTCACATTTTCACATTTTCACATTTTCATACTTTCGCATTTTCGTATTTGTACATTTTCACATTTTACATTTGTGGTAAAAATGCGAGAAACGAGGGCTATGAATTCGGCCCGACTTGCCAGCAGAGAATTTGCTCATCGCTACCTCGTCACGAAGAGTTAGAAATGGCGAGGCGACGAGATCGACCGCGAAATCGAGTCTCTCGTCGGTACTTACCCCGAATTTAATCGTAACCGCCTGTCGGGTGCGGCGTTTGAAACAGAGAAAATAGAGCACGTTAGTCGCGAGAACGACGAGGAAGACTCGAAGGAGATAGGAGGAGCGTGGGGTAACGACCTCTTCGTTAAAAAGGATTCACCTCGATGGAGTTGAAAAGGTAGTAAAAGCACCAGGTGATGATGACGTTGTAGTAGAGCGCGACGAAGAAGGTGACGATGCAGGAGGCGATGCCGATTCCGCCGAGCCAGGGGTGAATCGTGTTCCAGACGCCGAGGGCGCCCTGCCGCATCCTTTGGCCGAGGCCCAGCTCGATCAGGAAGAGCGGCACCCCCTCGAGGATGAGCATCACGAAGAAGGGGATGAGGAAGGCCCCTGGAACCGAAAATCGGGTCGCACGGTTACCCGTTGCCCCCCGACCCCGACCCCCCTCGGTAGCAGGTGGTCTACCGCGAGTCTCTCTCTTTCTCCCTCTCTCCCACCCTTCCAGGCAAACGGCCAGAGCGTCTCGTCTCGTATTGATCGGCCAACCGACCTCTCCCACCCCGTGCCCCGCGGGGGGAGCGGGGAGACGAGGAGCCCCGAGAGCTTCGACCGGCGAGGCCGATCTCGCGCCTCTTTCCGAATCCCAGAACCGGAAGAGGGACCCCGCGAGTCGTCGAGTGGATTTTCCATCTCCCTCTTCCCCTCGGACCAACCCCATCGCTCTCTTCCCCGCCTCCTTTCGACCGTCTCGTATGTCTCGTTTTTCTTCCCCTCTTCCCATTGACTGCGTTGAACCGACCTGGCCCCTCCTTCCGAAAATTCACCAAAGTCCGGTCCAAAGCGAAACGTAAGAAATCGAGCGTATCCGGTCCCCTTCTCTAGCCCTCTCGATCTAGAGTAAATTAAGGGGATGTGAAAGTGGCATCCAAAAGCTCAATCGTTCATGAAACTTTTCTACGAACTGGGTGTCTCAAATCGTTTCGTACTTTAAAATATGAATATGGAGACCCTAAGGTAGGTCCTGAAACTCGCGAAATTTCACTTTCTATAAACTATTTTTAAAATACCTATAAAGAAATTTGAAAAGAATTGAAATTTCATGAGCTTCAGGACCTTCCTTATAGTCTCCCTATTCATGTTGTAAAGTGTCAAACTATTCGGTAAATCGAGTTGGGAGAAAAGTTATATAAACAAAACCTCTTCGATGCCACTTTCACATCACCTTAAGGCGATGTGTTACGTCAAAGTTGCCTCGTTTATGATACCATTGTCCGAACTGGGTGTATAGAATCGTTACGAACTTCACAACGTGAATACAAAGACCATAAGGAAGGTCCCGACACCCATGAAATATCAATTTTTTTGTTTCCAAAATTATTCATAGATAATTTCCAAATTTTTTATAAAAAATGAAATTTCATGGGTGTCAGGGCCCCCCTTGTAGCCTTCACATTCAAGGTGTAAAGTTGGGTCAAACTACTCGGTATATTCATATTTCATGAACGATTGTTACTTTCACATCCCCTTAAGAAACTCGGTGGAGTGTCACGCCAAGTATACATATATACCGCCGCGAAACACTGACCCAGTCATTATCTTCGATGTTCACCCTTCCTCTCGAATTTCCGATTGAAAATGGAAAATCGATCGGGTCCCCCTCCCCGGTCCGATCTCGAGTCTAGAGCCTTCGATCCTCCTCGGGGTCGGGCGGAAAAGTGACCTACGCCACTCCGGCCCGTTTCCCTCGCGTCGCAATTCCGGGCAGGAAGGGCGATCGAGTCGTTCGCGGTACTCGGGGTGGGTTCGCGACTCGCGCCCCTCTACGGCGCGCGCGCCCTCGGCCGAGCACATGGCGAGCGGTCACGTGCCAAGCGCGGACCAATCGCGGGGAAAGAGGGAGAGATCGATCGGAGCGTTATCCTCGTTTGGCTCGCGGAAATTTCCATCGACCGAGGCGCGACGAAAGGGGTCGACCGGAAGAAGAACCCGACACGCGTCTTCGCAAATCGGGCCTCTTCCTCTTCCTGACGGTTTATCCCCCTTCACTGTCAGTTCAGTATCCGTTCAGTATCAGTTCAGTATCCGTTCAGTATCAGTTCCGTATCAGTTCCGTATCAGTTCCGTATCAGTTCAGTATCAGTTCAGTGGTCGTACCGTACCCCAGCAAGCCTGAATGCCTTACCTCACCAGAGAATAGGGATCGACAGCTGATACGCAAGGGAGACGTTGATACCCCCAATATACATATATATATATATATACCATACCGACCAGATATGTAACGATAATGTAATAATAATTTCATTTTCAAAGTTTAATAATTTTTTCTCAATTACCCAAATATACATATATATACCATACCGACCAAACATGGGACGATAATCGATCTTTCACCCCATCCTCTCGATTTTTAACACTATATCTACCAGAGGTGTCAAAGGACACCTTTTAAAATTTTAACTTGAAATTATTTTCAAAGTCTAATAATTTTTTTCACAATTAATGCTTTGAGTTTTCGTATAATAATTGTTAAATTTATTTAGCGATATGATTTTCCCCCAGCTCATCGAAACCTTTTGGTCGAAATAGGTATACAGAAAATCGTGGGTAGAAATAGTGTTAATCACCACTTATCTATAGAATGCTCTTTGGGTCGATAAACCCGTTTTCCGGGGGCTCGTTCGGATTCGACAGATTAAATCGGCGTTTTAAACGGCGGGACGAATCCGCGATCGCGTCTTTTTATAAACCCCCCCAGCGTCGCGACGGCGACGGCGACCGAGCGGCAGCCCCTGCCGGCTCGGATCGATACCGCGCCGTCGAGCCGGGCCGCGTCGCGGCGCGTCGCCGTCGCGACGCACAAAGGTCGCCGCGGCTTCGATCGCACGTCCAGGAAATCGGACCGACGTCCGGTTCCCTATCGGGGCCGATGACTCGCTCGGCGCCGGTCGGCGGTAAGGCGCGTTTCCGAACCGGAAGGGGCACCGTTAAATTCCTAATTGCACGGTTAAACAGGTATTCATGAAAATCGGCGCGCTCTCGGTGCACGAGGAGGCCGCAGTAAAATCCCGAGTCGTCCCAACCCCCCGTTAACGGCGGGACTTTAGGCGTCCACGCGAGGCGACCCTCGGAGCGAGCCGCGCATGCGCGTAACAAATGCCGCGAGGAAAAAATTAACGGGCCAACAATAAATATTTCCCACGATCCGAGTGGAAGCGATCGGATCGTGGAAAATATTTATTGTTAGACCGGAAAATTCTGCAAAGTGACGTAAAAAGTCCCTACGGTTATGTATAAAATATATCACGTATGTTTATAGTAGATATTGATGGAATTTTATGAACAACGGCGAAACGACGGCATTTCCTTCAGCGGGGCACGTTTCAGGGTGATTCACTCTTCGTGGAGGAAGGTGCGGTTAGGAGGAGGGTTCGATCGCGAGATCTCGCCGGAGTACTTCCGGTATATCTTTCCTAACGTAGGGATGAGAAGGGGCAAAACCGAGACTTTTTACAAGACGGACTCGAACGATTTCCTCCGTCACCGGGTCAAAGGAACCCCGGAAGTCGAGTGAGGCCGGAGCCCGGTCGACCTTTCCGCTCCGCGCGTTCCGCGACTTTTTTTCCGCGGCGGTCCTTGCCCGGCCATGCGTGCGACTCGCGGAGGATCGCCATTGCTCTCGACGGCCAAGAAAGCGGTCTCGAGATCGATCCTTTCCGGAATAGCGAGCGATCGGAATTCGGTAAAAATGGCGAATTTCGGCAAAAATTGGGAATTTCAGCAATAAATTGCGAGTATCGGCGAGAATATCGAATTTCAGTAAATTCGCCAAGTCTCGGCAAAAATATAGAATTTCAGCAAAAATTGAGAGTTTCGGTAAAAATGGCGAATTCCATAAAAAACAGTCGATCCGGCATCTACAGCTCGCCGATAAGCCGATTCCGAATAACACACGACCCACGATCGCAACGCGATTCATCACGTATACCTACCAAATCGGGCCTCCTTGTACGGCGGCGCGCGCATGCGCTCTTCCGGACTCGACCGGTTAATTCCGGTTTCCTCCCGGGTTACCGATACCGGCCTTGACGCGCGGCGCGTCCTTGGCCCGGCGTCGCCGTCAGTGGCCGCGCGGGTGCCGGCACGCACCCCGGAGGAACCGGGCGGTGGGACCTTACGGGACCGCGCGTTCTAAATATACGACCCTCCCCCAGGACTCGGCCTCTCTCCGGAATTCCCGATACGCGTGGAGATCAAAGTGGGAGGCTGGACAAGACGAATCCCCGGGAGGCTCGAGTATCGATGACTCCACGTAGTAGGAATTCGTCTCGTGGTATTACGTGGAGTTATCTGGCATTACTAGGTATTATTTGGTATCATTTGGTATCATTTAATATCATCTAGTGTTATCCAGGATTATCTATCTCGTTTGATCTCGTCTCAAGGGGTGGCGCCCTACTCGGAGCGAGATCAAGGAGAGCGCCCGGAGGCCGCGATCTATATCGGCGAAACGGGGTCGCGTTGAATGCAGGGCGTTCCTCCGGGTCTCTCCGGGGATCCTCTTCCCCGGTAGGAGCAACTTACCGCCGCCGTTCTGCTGGCAGAGGTAGGGGAACCGCCAGATGTTGCCGAGGCCCACGCTGTAGCCGATGATGCTGAGGAAGAACTGCATCTTGCCGCTCCAGGCGGCGCGGCCGTCCTGCTTGGCATCCTGGGGACCGGCGCCGGACGAGGCGCCCTGGCCCCCGGCCGCCACGATGGTCACGCTGGTGCCGCCACCGCGGCCCTGGCCGCGCCCCTCGTTCAGGGGCGCCAGCTCGTGCCCGTTGCGCCCCACCTCGGACTTGACGACCATCTTCGCGGCGAGCGAGCTCCCCGGGTCAGACTCGGCAAGGCCGGGGCGTCATCTCCCGGGGACCATCGCGGTCCCTCCCCTTCGCGACGACCTCCTTCGGGAGCGCGACTCCTGGGAACTCGGGGACTCCTCTTCGCTCCTCTTCCTCGGTCACGAGGGTCCACTCGGGGTGCCTGGTCGGGGTCGTCGTCGGGGTCGCGCCTCCTCGTGGGATTACTTGAACTTGATGCTCTTCAGGTTGCGCAGCCCGGCCCCGTTCTCGATGCGAATGGCCGACGATCTCGGGGACTTCGCGTACGGCCCCATGTAGCCTCGCTGTCCGGCGAAGGGGTGGCGGTTCGGCGGGTCGGACCGCACTAGGCTGCGCTCGACCGCGCTCGACGACGATCGGCGGGGGACTGAGGCGGGCCGAGCGCGCCGCCCGACTCGCCCCCCTCCGGCCGCGAGGGGTGCGAGCGCGCCGAGCGCATGCGCCGAGGTATCCTTCGCGTATCCTTCCCGTATCCTTCGCGGATCCTTCCCGAGCGTCCTTCGGGTCCTCCCGCCCCCGCGACCTCCTCATCGGCTCCTTTATCCCAATAAACCGATAAACCGTCCAATCGCCTCGCGCTCTCTACGGGTGACCGAACTTGACGCGCTGGAATTTCTTATATCGCTCGTGAAAGAGGAAAAGAGGGCGGTCAATAATTTTGGAAAATCATTTTTAACGTCGAATAATTCCTTTGTTTTCCGTAAAGGGGGTCTCCTCCCGGATCGACTCTCGAACCACGCCAGCGAGGCGTTTCGACCTCGATCCCCGAAAGTGCGGCGCTTGCAGTCGACCGAGGGCAGAGAGGTGGTGCGGTTTCCAGGGCGAGTCGACCGCCTTAAGGGAGGGTCGAGCCGCTCTTCCGCTTTAAGGCCGTGGGTCTCCTCAGACCCCCGAAAGTCTCGGCCACGGCCTCGCCGGCGAAATCTCGGCCGACTCTCGGAGGTCACCTCGAGTCGGCGATCGATCGGAAACGCGGGGGCGGACCCGAGTGACGTCCACCCGCCGAGCCCTCCCCGAGAGTCGTCTCGCCTGCGAGCGGAATCCGCGCGACCTCGAAGGCCCCGGCCGCCCCGAGGCCGCACTGGGCCTGTGGACGAGGCCCTTCCCGGGGGGCGACGTCACATCCTCATTCGCCAAGTTATTAATAATTACGCATTGTTTGCCAGACAATCGCCCGCCCGCGAGGACTCCGCCGCTCTGGAGCGGACGAGTTTACCGGAGGCTCCGGAAAAATATCAACCCTTTCGATACCATGGGTGACCATAATCAACCATCGTCTCAAATTCACGGGGTCTGCCGGGTGACCCACTCGAGGGTGATTCGGGTCATTCCCTCGGAAATCAATGCAAATGATTTCCTTCTTTGAGATCCAATTTCCTTAAATTTCATATAAATAACAATAGTTCAGTGATTTCCAACGATTTCCACGTGGTTACGTTAAAATCCATGATTGATCCTTTTTTACGGCGAATCGCTTTAATCACATTTCTTTACTTTTTTCCTCTAACTTTCCGACGTTTTCGCCCACACTGAAACTGTATTCGCAATTTGAGTACTCTTACAGCGGAAAGGGTATATGCGGCGAAGGGGTTGAAGGAGGTTCTGGGTGGTTTTGAGAGGTTGACGGAATTTCACTAGGGTCGATTCCCCTTCCATCCTGCAAATCCCTCCAGGAGGGTTCCAGGGGACTTACGCCCCCCTAGAGGGTGATCTCGCAGGACCTGGTTGATTCTTCCTCCCGATGTAGACCTCCTTTGTCGGCCAGACGGACGGATCGCCTTGCTCCCTTTTCCAGGGGAAATGACGGTGGAAGAAACGGCGGCGGCATGAGAGCGCGCGCAAATTGGCACTCGTACGCGGCCCACTTGACCGCAGGGAACGCACGTCGAACGAACGAGCGGATTCGATTGAACCTGGTTGAGGCTCGTTAAGCGGATCATCGAGATGTGTGCGGCAACGGCGAAGGCATTGCCGGGATTCCGTCGCCACGGGATTTCGCGTATATTCCTTACAATCGCAGCCGAGCGGCTCCGCCTAATCGCCGCACGTACGCTTTAAAACGGAGACTATCATCTACGAGATTTAACGAATTAACGGCCGACAAGGCGGTGCAAAATTCCTCGCAATTTGGACGCAGCCTCTGATCGGCACAACTGACGCTAGGATGACGTGGAAAATGTGACATCAGAGGGACTTCGTTTATAAAACTTTCCTCTGGGTGTGAGAGTAACAATAGGAAATTTTACCACACGAATATAGAGGCACCGTGACACCCATGAAATTTCAACAGAAAAATATTTGACTCGACGTTCTTCTTTTTTTTTCAATTTCACTCTTGAATATTTTTAAATAAACGTGTTTTCTTTTTTTGTTTTATGAAAGAAATTGTAATTTAGATCCTCTATATTCAGATGTGATTTTAAATGATTCGGTATAATTAACTCGGAGAGAAGCTTCATAAACGATGGATCTTTCAGGTGTTTCTTTCATGTCACCTTAATAGCGTGACGAAGGGATTAAGCCGAAGTAACGGATTGTCAACACTTATTATTAAACAAGCAATGTCCATGTTTCATTGTCGCGTCCATTTCCCCCATTTACGGTGCGTTTAAGCGACGTCGGATTGAACGTTGTCTCGTTTACGTGATTTACCCGCGAGCGGAATCGGCACAGCAAGGGCGGAAAGCGCATTTGTCCTCAGCATCCACACACAGATGTATCCGTGAACGCACACGTGGCGATCGATGGTCGTGTCTTTCAGTGTCCGGATCCGCTGCGATCATTCCGCTCTGCAGTATTCCATCCCTGAAAGGAGCACCAAACACAATTGGCGGGATTCTCATTACGTAGGGGAAAAAAAAAGGGATCGTCGTTTCAGGAGAGATACGGCTCTCGGATCGTGGTTCATACCAGGTGTCACCGATAAGATCCAATCGAGATAAGCGCCGACCCTAGTGTTGACCCCCGGCTTCTCGGAGGCGCAGATACCTCCATAGCTGATAATTCCCACGCTGACCATCCTCATTGAGCTAGGGTCCTGCCACAGCACCGGGCCGCCGCTGTCAAACTACAAATACAGCAGGAACTTGAAAATCGATTGAAATGTTTGTAAATAAAAAATCTATTAATACGTTAAAATCCCCCGTGAGGGAAAATTAAACCAAAGCCTCCTCACCTGGCAAGAGTCCTTCCCCGACGAGTACGTGCAGATCTGGTTGCTGGTGACCTCCTGGAAGTCTCTCCTACAAACCGGCAGCGAGGTCACGTTCAGGATTACCTTCTGCAGAGTGTTCGAGGACGCCCCCGCGAACTCCGTGGTGCCCCAGCCTGCGTGAATTCTCGCCGTTAAAAAATCAGCACATCAGCTTCTAGGTGTTCTGAAACGGTACGCACCCAGCACGACGACCTTGGAGCCGCCGAAAGAGTCCGATTTGTGGTGGAACGGGAGGCAGGCGGGTCCGACCTCGTTACTGAAGACGATGTTCTCGGCCACGGTCACGACGGCGATGTCGTTCGCCAGCGAGGCGCTTTGGTACTCGGGGTGCACCAGGTAGCTGGCCACCCTCAGCAACTTCGAGGCGTTCGTTTCGGCTCCTGGAGTGGTGTTTCAGGAGATTATTTCATACGGATACCGATTTAAGTACCTACTAGTTGCTACCTACCGGTCGTTAGGTCGTGATCACCCACCAGGACGGCCAGCTGGTTGAAGGGTCTTCCAGCGACGCAGTGCGCCGCCGTGATGACGTGCCTGTTGGAGATGATGGTCGCTCCGCAGTATAGAAGCCGCTGCACCGAGTTCACCATGCCGGCCATCATCGGGTACTCGTTCACGCCGGTCTGTTCTCCCCCGACGATCTTCGTCTGCGTCAAAAGTCGCCAAGTTTTTCCAAGAAGTAGCGTCTGAGAGCTTACGAAGGGGCGGGAGGCGCAAAAGACTCGCGAGGATGGTCGCCTCGACCAGGTCGGGCGAGCCGTCCAGCGAGTCCCGGTACCTGTTTCGTCCAGCCGCACTCGCAGTTCTCCCCGTCGTCCTGCGTGGCCTGCAGGGTGCAGAGGAACCGACCCCCAGGTGACCCGGACACGATCCTCAGGAGCACCGCCAGGCCGGGCCCCATAGACTCCAGGGCGAAATTTCCTCGACCGCAGTAATGGTGGTCCTCCGAGCCCGGGATCTCCACCGTGAACCGGTCACCGCTGCAGTCGCGGGTCTACGGTCAATTGATTAGGTTCTCGTCCTTATCTCCCGGATCGAAATCGAGACGCTCATTGGGCCAAACTGATTAACTTGACAAAATATAAAATTTAGAAAAAAGTAAGCATCAATCAAATGGCACTCAAATGAAGAAGACTCTAAAGCCGAAGTTTATCACCCTGACCCGTGAACTGCTCGACTGTTCTTTTTTTTTTTTTTAACGTTTAGATTGCCGACAGAAATTATCTAAGTTTTATATGGTTCCCTGAGAACTTTTCACGTTACAATTTAATTTTTCTTATTTCTCCTAGTCTTCGGCATTTTAATGAGAACATACTTACAGCCGGTAACTCGAACTCCTGGCAGCTCAGTCGAACTCGCGTTGGACTCGTGACCCTCCATCTGCAGGATTTCGGGCCCGAGTAGTTGTCAGGATAGTCAGGATTGAAGACGTAGTACGTCTTGCCGAGTTCCAACCTCTGGTAGTAATCGCAGTCGGTGTCGATGGCGTCCGCGACTCCCAACAGAGCCAGGAGGACCGTGGCCAGGAAGCCTGGTACCACCTGGACACCTGAAACCATCTCCTCGTTAGCTACATCCTAAGAAACCTCTCCTTCTCGCGAGGAGACATCCTGGACATGAATCCAGGCATATGACGCCAAAGCGTATCCTAAATTCCAGAAGATAGACCCGAAGTTCGACCACAAGCGAAGAGACCCATGGCGGCCATCTTTCTTCCTCCAGTCCACCTCGAATTCTCATGGCTTTTTCCTTTTAAAACACGATAAACCGTAAACGAAAGGATGTAACCGTTGCAAGGTCGCTCAGTGCATTGTCTTCAAGGACATAAGTACTGAAAACGGCGATAATAATTACCGTGTACTCTAAATTATTAATATATCCATTTAGAACGTGTGAAGGAAAAGAAAGATGGCCGCCACTCCTTCCTTCCCCGTCTTGAGCGTCACTTGAGAGATGTTCCATCCCTTTCTGCCTGGATTCGTGTCCTGGAAGCCGAATCTGATACCGCGCGTCGTCGACATCGAGACGTCGGGTAGACGGGACACCTCCCGACTTATCTCCCGAGAAATAGGCCGCAGATTTATGAGGTCACGAGCAAACATCGTGACGTCGACGATTTTCGCCCCCCCAGGCGTATCCGCGCGGAATCCCCCGCGTACTTACGCAACATCTCGGGGAAGAGCCGACTCCTTCCCGGGCGAAGAACTAAGGAAGGCAGCGTCCTCGCGGGCCTATATAGGCGCTCCTAACCGCGCACCGATTGATAACACCTGTGCACATCGCGTATTTCCACAGGTGCGGAGGGGCGCGAAGAAATCGGCCGCGGATACCCTGGACCGGGGATTCCGATGGAAGACCTGCGGGACGTCGACCTGGATTCGCGTCCAGAAACTCACCAGGAGGCGCCTACCTCTCCTCCAGGAACTCTTTTCACCTCTTTCAGTCAAGAGATAACGGAAGGAACGAAAATTTTCGGGACTACCTTTGGTACCAATCCACCAATTCTTCACCGACCTGTCGACAGGTAATGAGGGATTACCGAGCAAACGTCGCCACAAGTGTGCTCCTTACTTTCTCGACTGTTTCCACAAACGAGTCTTCCTCGAAAACACGATGCCCGAGATATGAAATCTCCAATTTCGGAGCACAACTACCGGCACACAATTGTGCGGTATTGACAATTTTTTTTTTCCACTGTTTTTTTTTTTCTTTTTTTTTTATCTACCTGTCGAATGGTTCATAATTGATCATAGAACCGTTATCCATTTCCGGAATAATTACACATGCCATCGGTATAATAATTTAAATAATAATCTCGGGACGTTTGGACGAGGAAAACCAGTTCGACGGCTGTCGCGAAAAAAGAATCGCCGATTCCGTTCGAATCGGTATCTACCTCTTTACCGATAGATAATTAAATATAATTTCGGGGTGATTATGGAGTCTGCTTTTGGGGACTGAAAATTGAACGGCAGTCGAGGCTGGGCGGACAAACGCGCAGAATTTGTTGCCTTTTATGACCTACTTGTGGAAGGCCGTTATTCAAGAGTCCTAACACCTTGCTTTGACGTTCACGAGCGGTCGTAAATATTACAAAATTGTCATCGAGCGCTCCGATTGCGGTCCTAATCTATAAGCGCCCAGACCTGCGTTCTGTTCTCTATTTTCTCAGTTTCGTTATTCCGCTCTCCGTTCCATTTTCTCAATGTCGTTATTCCAAAGTATCGGTATTATCTGCGTCCGGAACGTTCGAGCAAATAAAGTCAGACTTGCTGGATTTTTTAATGCATTTTGTGTCGCTGGGTTTTACATCTAAAAAGCAAAATCTGTGCTACCGACTGAACGCTGGTTAGAATAAAACACCTGAGTTGGTATGATGACGCACCGTCTGATGGCGCCACGATGCTGCGCGTCGTTTTGTTCATTAAGTTACCAACGGCTGTTAGTCTGGCCATCATATTCCAGAAATACGAGTAACTGCTTACAGAACGATTTACGTGCCCCAGTTCCGTTTTATCTCCATACATCTCCGTATCAGCCAGTCTATTGATGTGCGGCCCATTTACCCCGGCGCCATCTTGTCTTGGCCAACAATCATTCGTTCCCTCTGCCCTGAAATTTATTTTCTCGACAGTGACGAGTTGATTTATAAATCCGCATACCTTTTCGATTGATATCTCTGGCTGACATTCCGCATCTCTATTGAAATGCGATTTTTTTCTGCTATTATTCGCCATAAACGATCGGCAAACTTGCGCCGACTCTGTCGGTGCGAATAACGAACTCCGATAGATGACGCACTCGGCACGTAACCATGGCAACAGGAGTAACAACATGTGGCCAAGCTAACCTCTACGGTGCTGTGTCACGATTTGGCCTTTTATCAATATCTTTCCACTTTAATACCGAGTTTAGATGTCAGGACCAGCCTTGCCTTATTTATTGGGGTTTATTACCCAGTAATTCACTTTGATATGTCATATTTTTATGGCGGTTCACTCGCAGACATTGAAAGTGTCAAGGAGAAACGGATCAGAAGAAAGGTACTTAAACGTTTCTTTTAAAGTATTAAATTAATAATGTTGTATAAGTATAATGTAGATATTTCGGATTATAGCATAGTAAACTGCACAATCAAGTAAATGACAATGACGTTGAACTGGTTCATGGATCCAAACAGCGTCGCAGGCATACTGCTAAAACAAGATACTCCGCTAAAGCGAAGGATTCCAATATTCAAAGCAGTTATACAGTTGATGAAAAAGAACCTCCCAGAAACAAAGACAGACGACGTCCTTGTAAAGAGATAGACAGGTTCGTTGAAGAAAATAGTTTGCCGAAGACCGAGCTGGAGGGACCAAATGTAAACTTGGGTATTGTGTAATAACTATCCATTTATGTATGTTTTAAATATTTGTAAATCTGTATTGTGGAACGTTATCTGTCATAATAAAAATTTACAGAAGTCATGGAAGAGTTAACGGAAGAAGGTACGATGATAATGAAGTTGCGGAGTAAGCTTCACAAATTAGAGAAAAACTGTGAAGAGATTCAGGAAGAACGCCAGAAGCTTAGTTTTCTCTTACAGCAGCGAGAAACTGATTATCAGAAGCTGCGCTTACATTGCGAAAAGATGGTCGATGCCGTTCAAAGTGTTGAAGATGAAAAGAGTAATCTTATAATAATTAATGAGAAATTCAAGGCTGAAAATACACAGTTAAAGGAAGACGTGACTTTGTTAAAAAGCCTAGTCTATCGTTTGAATGTGGAGTTAGAGAAGTACCAAGACAGATTACAACAATGTGGACAATCGTCTGAAATCAAAAATATAGAAGAAGTTAATACACCTCTTCAAAGTAAGAAAATAATGGAATCTTGGGGCAGAGTCAATACCCACGCATTAGGTCCATTGCTAGATGCTTACGAACAAAGCTTGCTGGAAAAAGATGAGCTGATAAAAACATATGCACAGCAAATTGACATATTTAGTACACAATGTAAAGAAATCATTGCAGAGAATGAAAGTTTACACAAGGAAGTGGAAAATTTAAGCAAGAAGGTACGTATCGCTAAATAAAAATTTGTACGTTTATGTACTTGTGTAATTTAAATACTCTTCTTAAAAATGTGTAAGAAATAAATTGATAGGAAAATGTAATTTTGCAGTGTGATAAATGTACAGAAGAAATTAAAACAGTTGGAACTGATGCTGCCGTGATGAGGGAACAAAATGACCTTTTAGCGAAACAAGCAGTTCAACATAAACAAAAACTGCACGAAGTTCATTCGCTTTATGAACAAAAAGTGGAGTCAATGTCTCGAGATAATAATAAATTGCACGATGATTACGTGGCCTGTAAATCCGAATACAGTACTTTGAAAGGAAAGTATGAAGTGCTAAGTGAAAGTTACGAAAAGTTAAAAAACACCTACGAGAAAACAGTGCCGCTGTCTGTTCACACCTCAGCAGTTGACGAATGTAAAAGGTTGTTTGAGGAATTAAAGTATCAATATGAGGCTGAGAAAAAAAAACTGACTGCAAGAATAAAATATCTAGAAGAAACGAATCCGGAAAACGAAAAACAACTTATCGCAGTCACGACCGAGAGAGATCATCTGAAGAATTTAGTAAAACATCTAGAAAAGAATTTAAAGTAAGTATTTAAATAAACCAATGATCGTCAGCAATCATTAATGATTTTTTCTACAACTTTAGACGAACGCAGCACAAACTGGAGCAGGTCCAGAATTCGGTGTATTCCATTCAAGTATCTCGAGACTCCGTAAAAAGGCAATTAACCAAGACAACTGCTTACTGCCAAGAACTTGTTATCGAGCAGAAGAAACTCTTGGAAGAAAGAGATAAACTGATCGTTCTTCTTCGAGAAAAAGAAAAAGAAAATGAGAACATTCAATACCTAGGTAGCAACATAGCTCATAGGATGGATAATTTAAAAAGTCAACTGCGAGTAAGTTTCAATTTTCTCACCGAACATAATTTTTTTTTTTCTTATTACCAGCAGTGTTGATAACAAATGAATATTTAGATTGTACAGAAAGGAGCTAAGAAGCAGCTGGCCTCGGTCGAAAAGCACCTGAAAGTCCAAGAATTTGATGCAGGCCAAACGAAATCGGAGTATCAGCGAGAGTTGCAGCGACTAAAACAGCTGATCAAGCACAAAGAAGACGTCATAGGTCGATTACAGAGAGAAAAATGTGCGACCCAAGAAAATCTCGAGTTGGTCTTGCGAGCAGCAACCAGTGACGATAAAAAAGTGAAAGATGCTCTGAGAAACACCAAGTTTTACAACGTCTGAAGAAATCAATAGGCTGCCATTAGTCAGTGAGCTCCTCGAATCTATCAATTACATTCTAGTCTGCCACGTACAGAATGCAATTCGTTGTGTTAACATAACTGAGACACACCGATGTAGTGTACATAAGCACATTCTAGTCACTATAATAATATCTTCCTCCAACGGACGGCGATTATCACTCCTGTTGTCTTCGCTCAGGATGTCTTGGATGGAACTCATGCCTATCGAAGCAATGTCACAGATCTCTCCCTCCGGGACGACAAAGCTAACGCTTGCAGGTCTTAAAAAAAAAAAAGATATTCGACGGAGCGCTCGCAAATATAATATTTGTAATTTATTAACGATGTCCCCTGCTTTATTTAGTCGATGACATCAGCTAGTGTAAGTACTTGCGAAGGCTGTCGTCACATAAGAGGGGATAATGACGACAAACGATGGCTAGTAAACGATTTTAAAGACTTAAAGGCACCTCATATAGAAGTGATCTCACTTCGACCGATTTACATGTCAGGCGAGATCGTTTACAATCAGCAATTCTCACTTTGCCCTAACTGTCGTTACGCCGTATAATACTTCTACTTAAACGCCGATATGCACCGTGAGAATCGCCGAGAATTGATGTCTCTCGAAAAGAATTCGATTCAAACAATTCCTCGAAGCGCGGCTACATATCGCATCAGTAACTGCATCACGTGTATATTTTTAGGTATTTATTCATAACCGTAATACGTGTTACAATGTCATTATTCCTTTTTTACGATGTTGGAAGGATAATATAAGAAATAAAAGAGTTTACGTCTTATTCCAAGGCACGTAGTCTTCATCGTCTTCGTAATCATGGAGCCATGAACCTTAAACATGTGTTTAAAGCGTTAATAATTTATAATTAATAGTATTATAGTACTCATGACAACATCGATGTACTCACGCTGACCTTGTATAACATTTTTCATTTAATTAATGGAACGCGCGGCAATCTTGATACTCCTACGCTATATAGAAAGGGTTGCCGTAAGTCGATTCAGCAGAACTTTTCCTTTCATTCGTTTTCTTTTCGCCATTACAAAGGCCTGACGTGGGATATGCGTGTCTGCGTCTTGACACGCGACACGCCACCAGTCAAAACGTCAAGACCGCGTTTACATAACACCGTTATCCTTTATTATTGAAATTTGACGATCCGCTGTCCTAAACACCCGCGACGCCGCGTAAGTCATTAACATCCGACACCTCGTAATTAATGGTCACCACATAAACGAAAGAAATTCCTTTAGCTTAACTTCTTCCGGTGCTGTAACGCGCAAGCATGAATAGCCCGCAAAATATTTCGACTCATCAATTACGAAATCTCCCGTCTTTCATTCCCGGGATAAATTTCTAAGGGAAGCCCACAATGTCCTCAAAAATGTAATAGATTTTTTCAAAGCGAAGGCGAGCTGGGAATCTAAGATGGCGTCGGGTCGGTTCGAATCTACCGCGCAGTCGGGGCGGCGCGCAAGAGGCGTTCGGCCGTCCTCGGCCGTCCTCGGCCTCGATCGGGCGTCCCCGCGAGCGCTCGGGTCCCCTCGGTCGTCGATCCAAAATGTCGTCTGCTAGGCGCGTCGTCTGGAACCGGGTCGGTCGTTGGTAGTTATTCGCGACGCGCACGGAGGCGAGTAGAGGCGGAAATCGGCGTGCGAAGGACTCGAGGTTCGGGTTTCGCGAGTTTCGGTCTCGGCCCCATCGCAAGGGTGCCTCGCGTCCGCGGAAATCCCGAGTGCGTTTCCGCCGCCTAGTCTCGTGGCGTCTGGTCAGCCGCGAGAGACCGTGCGAGTCGACCGTTTGCCTCGGTGGACATTGATTTTTCCCTCCTTTCCTGGCGCTCTCGCTCCCAGAGGACAACCGAGAGCCGCCGGACCGACCTCGAGGACGGGGAATCCGCACCGGTAAGACCGCCTGCCCTTTACGAATTATCTCAGCAATCTCCCCAACGGCTGGCGTCGCAACGTCCCGCCGGAAGGGGGCGCGAGGAAGTACTCGCCTCGCCTCGCCTTCTGGGGGCTGCTCGAGAGAATAAGGGGAGCTTAACGTTCCCCGTTTCCCGAATCGCCTCGGCGCCGGTCGAAGCCGCTCGCCCGTCGACGTCCGAGGGAAGGGAGGCTCGCACGGAAGCGACGACCTTGCGGTAGGTCGAAGGAAGCCCAAGTAGAGACGCGAATATTTACCGGTACGAAGCGAATATTCCAACTCGATGAAATCGAGCCCAACGCGGTTTCGAGTCATCGGGAGAAATTAATTCCAACTACGAATGCAGGAACGAGACCTGGCCACCCGTTCTCACCGAGTCACCAACCGCGCATTATTCGGTTACTCGACTCGTCGTTTTTCGAGTCGTTTCGCTCGCGACTCGCTACGTCGAATGCACCCGGACGCGTTTCTTCCTTCACGGGCTGCCGACTCGAGGCCGAACTCATTTTCCACGTACGGCGGCAATGTTTTCGAATTAACTAACTCCTCGATATTTTCGTATTCGAGCTCTTCGAGATAAGGTATTCGACTCGTTATCCGTTCTTATCGAGTCACTAACCGCGCATTATTAGTTTACTCGTCTCGTCATTCGAGTCGTTTTGCTCGCGACTCGCTGCGTCGAATTAACTACTTTGTCAATATTTTCGAATTAACCAATTAACCATCAATATTTTCCGAGTTAACTAATTTCTCAATATTTCCCAACTCGAGCACACCGAGATAGGGTATTCGACTTTTCACTTCCCTAAGCCCGAGGTACCTCGACCCCTTCCCCCTTTTCGAAGGCGTGGAAGGACCCGGCTTTACTCCTTATTCCAAGGATCTCCTTTTTCACGAGCGGTCACTGGCAATAATACACAATTCACCGTCCTCGGTCCGTGTTTACCTCAGGTCGAATCGACAATTGCGGCGACTCGGTCTCGAGGTACACCCCCCCCCACCTCGCTTCTCTTGCCCAAGATTTTCCCCGCACTCGGAAGTGAAACTACCCAGTGAAAGAAAAATGTATTATTAATTATTCTTTCCCGAAATCCCCCTTACGCATTCGGGTGCCTCGAGCATGACGATATCCACTCTTAACATGCGAAGTTATCCGCACCTACCGTGACAAGGAGTTTCCACTCGAGAAATGGAACAAATGGTTCACCTTTACGCCTCCCTCGTTTAACCCTGCGTTAAAAGTTTCACTCGAAGACATTCGATTGAACTGAACCGACTTATCGTTGGGATTTATCGATGCGATTTATCGCTACAATTTGTCGTTTCGTGCGTGGCCATCTTAAAGTGTGGTATATACGTACCAAAAAGTCGTCGAATTTTCTGAAACTTTAACACGTGATTATGGAGGCCCTAAGGAATAACGCGCTGGTCATGAAATTTCATTTTTTTTTTTCGAAAAAAAAAACTATGTATCTCGGACAGGAAGCAAAAGATATATTTTTTTTTTTCGAAAATTTAAATTTCACGGGCAGCGCGTTTTTCCTTGGAGCCTCCATAATCACGTGTTAATGTTTTTAGATAATTTGGTGCACCCAGTTTGGAAAAAAAAGTTTTATAAATATTTCGACTTTTTGGTATGTATGTGTCACACTTTCGTATCACCTTAAGCGACCGTGTGTCGACGGTTGAGGGTCGATGACCAACTCTTTGTGCGAAGAGGCGCTTTTGTGGCGCGACAATGACATCGAGTTTTGTGAAGCGATACCTTTTGTCCACATTGCGCGTAAACGCTGCGTTCCCGATTCGCGAGTCCAATTCCGCGTGGGAGGATTCGACTAGGATCACGGGAGGAAGCGAAGGAGGCAGAGTCCTCGCTCGAGACGGACGCGACGAGGCGAGGTGACTGATAACGGTCTCTGGAAACGGACGTGGCGGGTCTCGGTGTTTTTTACCCTCGACGGAATGGCTCGATTAGATCGAGAGATCGATAAACGGAGAGGGATCCTGCCCTCGACATCGCCAGTTTTCGGACACGAAGCGATGATGATTTTGATTATCTTTTTTCTTTCATTTTTTGCTGTGGACGAGGTTTCGCGACTTGGGAAAATATTCCTGGATTTCTTGAGTGAGATTTTGTGGGTCCCTGGAAACAGACGTTGCGGGTCTCGATGTCGTTTACCTTCGATGGAATGGCACGATTAAATCGAGAGGGATCCTGTCCTCGACATTGCCAGATTTCGGACACGAAGCGATGATGATTTTGATTATCTCTTTTCCTTTACTTTTTACCGTGGACGATTTTTCGCGACTTGGGAAAAAATTCCTGAATTTCTTGAATGAGATTTTGCGGGTCTCGGTGTCTTTTACCCTCGATGGAATGGCTCGATTAGATCGAGAGATCGATAAACGGAGAGGCATCCTGCCCTCGACGTCGCCAGATTTCGGACACGAAGCGATGATGATTTTGATTATCTCTTTTCCTTTACTTTTTACCGTGGACGATTTTTCGCGACTTGGAAAAAAATTCCTGGGTTTCTTGAGTGAAATTTTGTAGGCCAGGAGGAAAAATGTAGGAATTCAACGCACGTAGTTGGAAAGAGGGGAATGCAGGATACGGATCGAGAATTGCGCAGGTTGGAAAGTTTGGAACGAGATTCCTCGTTTCGGAGAGGTAATGGTATTTGCTCGGAGGGAAAAATCAAGGCTAGGGGATTTTCAATAGATAAGAAGATATCTTGATATTTGGACGAGTCGTAAGGGGACCCTAGGAAGAGGGGAGTAGGCTACGGTGAGAAAGAAAATAAATTCATGGAACGAAAGAAATGGGAAGATTCCAAGCCACCTGAGAATCTGTAAAATCACAATTTTCAAGATTTTCAAGATTTTCAAGATCTTGGGGTTTCGGCCGGTGGCTTAAATTAATTCGTGTGTACATTGTGGAGTGTAATTGGGCTCGTTATTTAACGCGTCCAAGCTCTGAAATGGAAAATCGGAAATTTCTCATTCGGAAGAGGCGCAGCCGGTCCTGCGAGGTTAGGTAATCCCGTCCGCCGCAACATCAGGTGGACGATTTCATTGCGTAATCGGCGATTCCGATTACGCAACTCGTCTGTCCACCCCATTGTCACCTCCGTGCATAACGAATGCGTGCGAACGCGAGCGTTTCGTTACGCGGACGCGGAAAACGCAGAAATGGGGACCGCGAGTCGTCTCCGGAGAGATGGGTCCAAATTTCCCGATAAATCAATCTTTTCTTTTCTTTTTTTTTTTTTTTTCTTCGGGATATAAATAGCGATATCGACTACAGAGTTCGATTGTACGGCACGATCGCGGTATCGGGGATAACGTTTCCCAGATAGCAATTCATGATCATCATGCGATGAGGAAAATCGGTTTACAAACAATTTCCAAACCATTTATGGCCTGAAATATCTGCAATATATGCACGCATATTACACAAAAAATTTGAATGAAAATTTGCTGTAAATTTTTTTTCACGCCATGGCTCAAATATCAGCTATAAACGCTACGATTTTTTATCGGCATCGCGTATGATAAATTTAGCTTTAAATGTGCGTAGAAACATTGGGACATTGCATGTACTTAAATTAGTTTCATATTTAAGTATTTTTGGTCCATCATTGTGAGTTCCAAATGAGGACTCATGAGCGACACCCTCGTGACTTATTTCATGATCTTCATCGGGGAAATGTGATGCAAATTTTTTTTATTATTTAATAATAACCGCGTAAGATAAATTTAGCTTTAAACGTGCGTAGAAACATTGGGACATTGCATGTACTTAAATTAGTTTCATATTTAAGTATTTTTGGTCCATCATTGTGAGTTCCAAATGAGGACTCATGAGCGACACCCTCGTGACTTATTTCATGATCTTCATCGGGGAAATTTGATGCACATTTTTTATTATTTAATAATTATACTATTGTGTACTAGGGTTTAATTAGATGTAGATTCGCGCAATCGAATGACACCGACCGAGGAGCCGTTCCAAAGGTTAGGCGTTTATATATGCGGCCGTTAATTTCCGCAGTCGCGGTCCACGCGGGTCGGCGCCGACGGCGGGTCAAGGACTGTCCTCCTCGGTGAATTCCGAAGAGGAGACTGGGTACTCCTCGTCGAGGCGGAGATCGAGAGCGGATCGCCTCGTGTCGAGCAAAATCTTTCGATCTCGGAGATTTCGAGGAGAGGTCGCGTCATGCGGCGACCGCGCGCCGTGAATCACGATTTCCGCATTCGTCGATTGCGTTTATACCGCGTGGCCAAGTCCTTTCTTCCGAGAATCTCGCGATGAGGAATCTGTAGACGGAATTCTTTCACCGGAAGCGAGACACGTGGAGGAAGTTGGATTTCCTTTGATATCCACGCCGGGAGAGAAATAGGAAATTCGACCGGAGAAATATGTCATTGATTAGGAGACTAATTATTTCATTTAAAATTAACTTATTTGTACGCAAAGTTCCTTCGGAATTATTCACGATTTATGCGAGGCGAATTCCTTTGAAGATTATGCTTTGAATTGAGGTTACGTGACAGTGGCGTCAGAGAGTTCCCGTTCATGAAACTGTTCTCCAAACTGAGTACCCAGAATAAATTAAAACTTTACGATATAAATATGGAGGGTATTAGGAAGGTCCTGAAACTCGTGAGATTTGAATTCTTGAAAAAATTCGTTCATAGATATTTTCTAGATTTTTTCTGAAAAATATTTCCTGAGTTTCAGGACCTACCTTAGGGTCCTCTTATTCATGTGGTAGAGTTTGACACCCAGTTCGGAGGAAAATTTCATGAACGATTGACTCTTTAGATACCACTTTCACATCCCCTTAACATATATTTTTTTTCCCCTGTGAAATGATTTTTTTTTCTCAGGGCATAAGAGTGAGAAAAGGAGAGAGAGAGAGAGAAAGTGAGCAGATCGGTTCTCTCCGTCTCCAGTAGATAGGCCATCGCGACGATTCCCTGCGCACCTGTTCCGCGTAAAAAGAGACATTAATTCTCTTTAATTTCTCCTTCTACTCTGCCTCTATATATATCTCGGTATTCCGGTTCCACGTGTTCCGCCTCCATTTTTCATCCTCTGAAAAAAAGAGAGGAAAAAAAAAAAAAAAGATGGAAACTAAGATTTCGCACGTGTAATAAGTTGTTTCTTGCTTTCAGCGCCGTCCGGGACGAGGGGGAGAGGCGACGCCACCGCCCCGGAGGAGGAGTGACGGGAGACGCCGGGCGTCTCCGTAAACAAACGGGCGGCGTCGCCGAGTGGCGCAGTCGCGGCGATTGCGGCGATTGCAACGATTGCGGCGATTGCAGCGATTGCAGGTCCCTGCATCGACCGCGCCGCCCCCTGTCGGTAGTCGCCGGTCCGGCGGAGGCGAGGTCAAGGTCGGCGGATCGGTTCCGGGAGGAAGCCCTTTCGGCGGGTGGCGGGGGGAGGGGCGCCCGCCGCTTCCGGGAGAGGTCGGGAGAGGTTTCGGCCAGCCGGCAGTCGTCGGGCGACCGCGCGCGCGAGTGGAGGTGGGCCCGCCCCGCCGCGCCGATGCGAGCCCGGTGAAGGACGCGCCGACGATGGGGAGGACCTCGGCCGCCACCTGAAGGACCGAGGAGATGGAGTTCGAGCTGGACGGCAGCCTCAAGGAGTGGGCGAAGGACAAGCCCCTGAGCATCCTGCAGCTGGACCCGGCCGACCGGGCCGTCCTTAGGATCGCAGGTGAGTGCGAACTCTCCTCCACCCCTGACCTCGCGCCTAGGGCCGACCTCCTTTCGGCCGCTACTCGGCAACGACGGGATGCGTCGGGCACGCTCCGCCGACTGCCATAAATAATAAGCGAGCCCGTGGTGGCCGAGTAAACCTTCGGACCAGTGGCTCTCAGCCGCGATCCTACGAGACACGAGATATGGGCTACTCCTCGAGCATTAGGTGGTCCCAAACTATGGATTTTTTTTTCTTTTTTTTTTAACACGTTTCCAGGTAAAAATCGGTGTACACTATGTTGAGGAATTGGTTCCCACCGCTTTTTAACGTAACGTGATTAACACTTCTTCCTCAAAAATGTAATATTTTCGAATAACCTTTAACGTCCTTTCTATACCAGGGTGGTGCGACAACGTAAAATGACTGATAATCGGCCCATGAGTTCTTCCGTACTCGGAGGTGAGGAGTGCGGGATTTCAAAACCCCCTTCGTCCATTTCCTGCCACGAGATGTGGAGTCAGGAAATAAAGAGCGCGGTAATTCGATGTCACCGGACGGAGGAGTTGAGACCATTTAATGAATCGAGTGGAAATTAAATGGAAACGGGAGTCTCCACCCCGTTCGTAGCTTCTTCTCCGCTGTTCGGGAGATTGTTTTATATACTTTTATTATCTTTTACTGGGGAAAATGTACCGCGGGTACGCTTTTTACGATATTACCGGCGAGGAGGCGCGCGCAAGCGACGACCGCCGTATCGAACGCGTCTCGATAGCCCGTCGGCGGGAAAAGGTCGATCGCTCCTCGGCACGTAATTGCACCCCCGCGACGGGGCTGAATCCGACCAGCTTGCACCCCGGGAGGTATCGACCTTCCAGGTCGCGATAACGAGCCGGAGGGTCGACCTTCGTTGCCGGCTTCGACGCTTCTCACCCTCGCGGTGGAAACGCGAGAGCGATAACTAGCTAGTTTTTCTCCTATCAAGAGGGGGGTTCTCATCCCCCTCGCGTGTCAATCCCACCCTCGATGTTCACCCTTTGGTATTTCTTTCTCCGGAGGCCGAAGTGGCACGAATCGACGCGCTATCTCCAGGCTAATTGGGTTATCTCCGTGGTTTTTGGATTTCTCACCGGAGGCGGGGAAAACCGAACACGCGGAAGGTGCGGAAAATGTATTTGGCTCGGGACTCTACGTCTCTCGACCCCGCGCGGAGGGCCTCCGACGGATTCCTCTCCATGTCGCGAGGCCGGATGATCGATGGCGGTGCCCTCGTATCGAGGGAACCGGCTTCGATAGCGCCCGTTATCGCGGGCGGTACGCGAGCGGAATCGCAACGAGCTCCGCTAGGCCCGAGAGGAGCCCGGAGGAGGCTCGCCTTCCGCGCCGGAAATCCCGCGTCCTTCCGGGGCGACGACTCCTCGCCGACTCGCTTTGTCGCCACCTGTTAATTAGCTCCAGGTGGAAATCCAATTGCCCAGGTGCGAGCCACTCGTCGCGCTCAAGTGCTTACTCGAGACGAGGACAGGTGCCGCGGGGACGGTTTTTAAGTCGCTTCGACTACGCACGTCTTTTGGCCATTGTTTCGACTTAGCGCGTCTTTCGGTTATTGTTTCAACTTAGCGCCTCTTTTGGCCGTTGTTTCGACCTAGCGCGTCTTTTGGCCGTTGTTTCGACTTGGCGCGTCTTTCGGCTATTGTTCCAATTTAGCGCGTCTTTTAGCCGTTGTTTCGACTTAGCGCGTATTTTGGCCATTGTTTCGACTTAACGCGTCTTTTGGCCGTTGTTTCAACTTAGCGCGTCTTTTAGCCGTTGTTTCGACTTAGCGCGTATTTTGGCCATTGTTTCGACCGCGTCTTTTGGCCGTTGTTTCAACTTAGCGCGTCTTTTAGCCGTTGTTTCGACTTAGCGCGTCTTTCGGCTATTGTTTCGACTTAGCGCGTCTTTTAGCCATTGTTTCGACTTAGCGCATTTTTCGGCTATTGTTTCAACTTGGCGTGTCTTTCGGCTATCGTTTCAACTTACCGCGTCTTTTGGCCATTGTTTCCACTTAGCGCGTCTTTCGGTTATCGTTTCAACTTAGCGCGTCTTTTGGCCGTTGTTTCGACTTAGCGCGTCTTTTGGCCATTGTTTCGACTTAACGCGTCTTTTGGCCGTTGTTTCGACTTAGCGCGTCTTTTAGCCGTTGTTTCGACTTAGCGCGTCTTTTGGCCGTTGTTTCAACTTAGCGCGTCTTTCGGCCATTGTTTCGACTTAGCGCGTCTTTTGGCCGTTGTTTCGACTTAGCGCGTCTTTTGGCCGTTGTTTCGACTTAGCGCGTCTTTCTTTCTTCCTGGCCATCCCTTCGATCCTTCGAAGGGTGGCGGGATTGTCGCGAAACCCGAGCCCGGTCGATTACGATCGCGTTACGCGAGCTCGTCTGACCGCAGACATTTTTCCCCGGGCCTCGACTTTCCCCCCTGTCTCCCCTCGAGGGCTGCGACCCTAACGAGGTTCATCCTCCACCCTACCTTGCAGTTTTCTCTTTTTTTTTTTTTAATTTTAAATAATTAATTTCCGAATGCATATCGAGGATGTTGGACTAGGTTTATTCATTTATATATATAACCTCTTATTAGGTTTTCCTCCAGTTCGGAGAAAACCCGAAGGACACCCCTTGAACGCCGATTTCGCGTAACTTTAAGGTCGCCCAGGGTGCCGACAGGACGCCGGCTTTAAGGCGCCCCTGGAGCGTTGCTAGGTGCACCGTAATGGCGGGCCGCGCACGCCTCGGTGGTTTATCGACGATATTCCATTCCCCGGTAACTCGGTAGCGTAATTGCGAGCGATTATCTCCGCGCGCGTTGCGCGTGCCCCGGTACCTTATTCCTTCTCGCTCTTCGATCGCCTCCTCCCCCCTCCGTCGCCGAAAATAGAAAACAATTGATCAAGGTTTATCCCCCCGAAAGGTTTGATTTCCAAGGACCATAATTACAACTACCGTAATTATGGCCTTTCCGACCGTTCTCTCTTTCTTTTTTAATTGTTTTAATTTTTCTTACTTTTTTTTTTATGCGCGCTCTTATCATACAGACGTAACAAATGAGACTCGTCCTTCTCCGATAACCTGTCAATTGAGGTTATGTAGCGAAGATGAGACTTATCCGATATTCCGGGGTAGTTTCCGCGGTGAGGCCGTCATCCGGTCGTTGTGCCGAATCGCGGGGGAAATTCAGCATGCGAAAACGTTTGGGCCTACGTCGTGCCTAAAGTTAGGTTAGAGTTAGGCCTCGACGTCTAGGTTAGGTCGGCTCGCGTCGAAGCGGAGGCGGCAACAGGTGCTCGGGTCGCACGGTTCGACGCCCTCCGGTCCCCGCCTCTCCCCTCGCACTCTCTCTTACGGGCCTCGCGATCCTCCCCTCTTTCTCTTCACCCTTCCTAATAATATCCCGCTGTTACCGTTTTTATCGTGTCGATTTTCGACTCTCCTTAAAGATCAATAAAAACGATGGGAAAGGGGGACGATCTGCACCTGGCACGTCACCCAGGTATACATGCACGCGTCTAGAAATTTCTGACACATATATATATATATATTATATATGTCGAAATATTTATAAAACTTTTTTGCCAAACCGGGTGAATCGAATCATTCGTAATTTTGGAGGGCCCTGGGAAGAACGTCGATGCACGTGAAATTCGATTTCGTCCGGGGAAAAATGTTCTTTTATTTATCCCAGACTAGAACCGAGATTATTTTTTCTTTTGTCTTTGTGATGAAAGATGAAATTTCATCGCGTTCTTCGGGGCCCTCGTAATCATGGGTCCAAGTGTTTAGAAGAGGTGGCGCGCTCAGTTCGATGAGGAAACCGGGGAATCTTGAAAGGGCGACCGCTGGTGAGAGACGAAGGGTACGTCGCGGGATCCCGTCCCTCCGTTTTACTTACCGGGTGAAAGGGAGGGAGGTGTTCCTTCGCGCCGGTAGATGGCAGCCGAGGGCTCAGAATCTCTCGAGGCTAGTCCTCGAAGACGACGGCTTTCCCGCGAAAATTCAATTTCGCCACCCTTTTACCAGCGTCGAATTTTATATCAACCTTCTGATACCTAACCTACGAGTCACTCGATCTCTTCGATTTGATTTCTTTTATAATACGTTATAGTAGACTAAAAACTAAGCGGCACGTAGTTTTTTTTTATCTCCCATTAAACACTTTAAGGGGGTGAAATCCAAAGCAAGGCATATCAAGGGGGTGATTTGGCAGTTTCACCCACAAGAACATAATATTTTTTAACCAATCCACCTGAAGAAGCATTTCTCATAACGAGAGATAAAAAAATGTAATTTTCTCAATGAAAAAAAAAAATTAAGGGGTGAGCCACCCCTCACAGGCCTCACTTTGGATGGTGGTTTCAGCCCCTTAAAGTGATTAATGGCAGATGAAAAAAAAAAATACCTGTCGCTTAGTTTTTAGTCTACTATAAGATATTATAAAAGAAATGAAATCGGGTAGATCGACCTGGGATACCTTCCTTGTAAGACCTCGTGTACACGCAGTCGACTTGAGTGTGGAAAAGCTGCGTTTGAAAAGTGCACTCCCGTCCCGTTTACCCGGAATAGCTCGAAACTCCGTCGACGCGTGTCGCGTCGCATCTTAATGCCCCATTCCCTAGCGATACTCCCCTCGACGGCGCTTAATTCGCCGTCGGTCTCCTATCCGGGTATTAAACGCGGGAAATGCGCGGATACGACTTACCGGGCATCTTCCGGGAGGTAATCTCTTCGTGGCGGTGGTCCCCTTCCTGGAGGGCTGGTCTCTAAGGGTCGTCGAAGTCCGCTCTAGGGAAGTCTCACCGCCGCGAGCCTTCGGGCTTACTGACGGAACCCGGCCGTCGTCGGGGTTCGATATACCCGGGGCATCGATGTATCTTAACGATCGATCTACCGATTTACAGTTAGGAATCCGCGGGGACGCACCGAGAAAACCGGGGCACGTAAAGCGATACGAGGTGAATGCGAGCGGGCGCCCCCTCCACCCTCTGTC